TAACCTCTTAGTCCTGTTTACATCAACTCTAACTGCATATGCCTGACCAGACATTTAGCAGCTGGTTTCATTAAACAAGACATTTGATATGGTCTGATGGACAGTCATACACCTAGGCACATAGAATGACATATGCAGAAGAAAGCGCCGCATCAAGTCACAAACCTAGTTCCAGAAATTTAATTCACCATACTAATTTAGGTACTCCTCTGAAACCCAGGAGGCAGGTGACCCTGGAAACAGTCTATGGCAGCTTCCTGGTGACATGAAAGGTCACTTTTGGTGCAACAGCATACTTGTAAGATGAGAAAATAGGACACTTGCATTGTAGATTTTTCAGCTCCAAGGTTTTGCTCCATTGATCCTGCTGTCCAGGAAGGTGCACTGAACTGCCAGCTTGAGGTGGGTCATTCTGCAACTTCCCTATGTACCCGGGGTCACTGTGCATGCAGGAAGGAATACGGCAATCGTGGGGACTAACAAAGACTCATCATGGTGTAATTTCTGATGACTCATGAGCTTGCTTATAGAGACGTTGCACTGGCAGGAAGGAAACTCAGCACAGCTTTTAGATGTTTTTAATCTAAAGGTTTTTTAGTATCAAATTCATAGGCATCCCTGAAAGACGGTTCAAAGCGAATGTCCTGCTTCCTAGGCTGAGCCCTAAATAGAGAGGAGGATACCACTCTAGCCAAAAGCGCTAAACAAAATCATTGCTGGTTGGGAGAGCTTTCTGCGATGCAGAATTTCAATTTCTTTGCGAGACTTAAGAACTCAGGACTCCAACTCTGTGAGCTAGTATGAAAGGTATCCTCTTCTATCAGCTATTACTTGCACACATGTAGTATCAAAGAATCATTCTGGGTGGAAGCAACCTCAGGAGGTCTCTAGTTCAACCTCCTGCCCAAAGCAGGGCCAGCTCTGAGGCCACGTTGCTCCATGCTTTATACAGTTCAAGTCTTGAAAATCTTCATGGATGGAGCCTGTAAAGCATCTCTGAGCAACCTGTTCCTCTGCTTAACTGTCCTCATGGTGAGTAAGTTTTTTCCTTGCATCCAGGTTAAACCTCTCCACTCTCAACTTAGACCCATTTTCTGGATCTTCCCACCACATACCACTGTGAATAGCCTGACTATCTTCTTGGTAACATCCTTGCAGGTACTGGAAGGCATCTACTAAATCCTCTGTAAGCCTTTTCTACGAGTTGAGCAGGCCCAGTTTCCTCAGCTTCTCCTCACATGGTGTTCTCTCCTTTTAGTCCCCTGACCATCTTAGTGGCCCCTGCACTGAACTCACTCCGGTTTGTTAAGCAAGTTTCCTGTATCTGGGGATCCAAAACTGGATGCAGCATTCCCAATGTGGGCTAACAAGTGCGGAGGGGGATAATCACTTTCCTCCTTACACTGGCTGTGCTCCTGTTAACACAGCCCAGATGTTGTTGGCTGCCTTTGCTGTCCAGGGACACCACTGGCTCATACTCCCCCCAAAGGACCAAACCCCCCCCACCACACTAAGCAAGCTGTCAGACCCTGAATACTCTCGTGGGAGAGACACCAAGACTAGGCATGGAGGTACACAAGAGTGCAACTATAAGCACTGAAGCTTGATCTCAAAAGCAAGTTCCTGAACTGCCCAGGAGGGGTGCTACTGACAGTTTTGTTAGAGAGATGCATAAAATCAACTGGAAAAGAGTGTGTTTATGTTCCTTAGGTGCGACCTTAAATACAAGATAATATTTCTTTTAAAGGTCACGGTCCTCTTTGTACAGTGAAACTTCCATATGCTGTTTATTGACTAAAGGTGTCTTTTAATACAAAGCTTAAAAAACAACTTTGTGTTCCCTCACTATCAGCTACTGTAAAATTCATTTGTTTGGATAACTAGTGACTTGAAAATATTAAGAAATGGGGAATTCAAAGCTGGAGGTGCCTCCCTGGAAGATGTTTCCCCAGTCACTAGTTACTGGGCTCAACATGGAAGTCAGTGTGCATGATTCTACAACCTGTGATAAACTGTACTACTTCAGAAAAAAGCAGTTGGTCTGGTCTGAAACCTTAGGGGTCTATAAATTACAAAAAAGCCATAGAATATACTTGTATGTCTTAAGACAGGGAAAATTCAAGATCTTACCTAACAAACACAAAATTGCAAACCTGCATTCTGCTGCATTTTGAAAAACATTGCAATAGAGAAAACATAATTGACAGAAGGTAAAGAATCACAGCGCAAACCTGAATTATATTACTTATGCTTGCAGAATACTAATATTTTACACCTTCTGGTCATGCTAGTTCCGTATATTAGATTTGAGCCCTCAAACCTGCTCAAAGTAAGAAAAAAGTGAGATTTTTGAAACTTTTCCAAGAAGATTTATATTAATCATCTCTGCCCACTCCTAGCACACTACTTAATATTAAATGCTTCATAATATAGCTTGTTTCCCCCTTCCCCCCATCTTTTTAAAGATGAAATCCAGGAAAATGTCAAAAATGATTCTTTAAATATTCTTAGCAGGCATACTTTAAAATGTTTATCTCAGACATTGTTAAAACATATGCATGGGTATCTCAAATGATATTACAGCCCAAAGTAAACTCGCAAATCTTTACAGATAATAACTTTTTTGTTCTAACAGAGAAATTTTACCCTAAAGAGACAAATGCACAGCTCCCACTGATTTTAATGTACATTATATACATGTCGCCGAGGGCATAAGATATTTCCCTCCTACAGAGCAAAGTATTTGATTTTTCACGTCAATTTATCACAAACCTGAGTGGAGGTCTTGGTGTGCATCAAATAATTTTTGAAATCTTTCCTCTGCTTTCAAAGCCCGAATAGTCCAAAGTCCCTGGAGAGACGACGACAAGTGGGAGAACACTGGACTTCGAGCTACAAAGGGAAATGAGAGTAACTTAGCAATAGCTGAAGGACTACATTTAATTCTTTTTGTACCACACTAATCTTTAATCCCACTACTTTACATTTAAACATACAAGTTACTGTACTGTATCCTTTTAGAATAAATATGTGATATCTTTAATCAAAGCCCTCTTACTCAATTAGAATCAGTCAGACAGCCAGGCAGATTAATTTATACAAAAATGTCTTACATTTTTAACAATAGCTGTCACTGAAGAAATTCTTTGAGCTTTATTAATGACATGAGGCACCCATGTTTGTTATTCATAATGCTTAATATTTCATATCAAAGGCAAGCTAAAGTCAGGCACAAGAGTCAGATTAGGTCAGAAACACCATTAGTATGTGCATGCAAGGTCCCAAAGACCAGCAACTTAGCATGTTCTTAACTAGCTTTACTTACAGATAGTTAAACCTAAGGTTTATCATTATGGAAAACAGGAGTTAAGCATATAATTCACTAGTTGAGAACGAAGGCAATAAGGAAGTTATTTGCATAGCAAAAGAAAAAAAATCTTTGATGGATTGTCTGTAAAATACTAGCATTTCACATAATAATAAGCAGGGTTCAAACTAACATTAAGTCCCGCCAAACTACATACTTGTGGATTCTAGACGTTTAATATCTCTTGAAGTGTCTAAGAAATATCGTCGAAGAAAAATGAAAAGAACAAATAGTGGAATTAAGGGGATGAGTATCCAAGGAATCACTGCCACAGCCACAGCCACCACACCAAAAATCTGTAGGAGAGTCTGCAACACAATAGAAACAAAATAAAAAACCCTTTGCCAGAAGAATTTAATTTAGAACAAGTATAAAACTATTTAACACTATTGAAACACTTAAATATTTAAACATAACTACCAAATTTAAGAGCGGATGCACTGTATAACATATAAGCGAGATCTATTTTTAAGCAACTTGAAGAAATTACAGTAATACCTAATTTGGTTAATCGTGCAGTTTATGGTTTTCTTATGCATTATTTGTTCTTCAAGAAATGTCTACAAAACTGGTTGACTGAACATTAATGTCTTACTTTGTGGACTATTCTGTGACTGCTGTAAAAAAATAATATATGATTGATGAAATAGACAACTAATCTTAGTTGATCCAAGATATATGGTGCATCAGGGGTATGTTTTTTCACTCCAGGTAAAAAGAAACTGGTGAAAGGCCAACTTTCAACACAGACTTGTCACTTTTCTCCTAAAGCCAACTTTGTCCCATTTAAAAAAAAAAAAACAGTATCGGAGAGAGTGACCTTTCTCTTTCCAAAGGATTGCATTGGGAACGTTACAAATAAGACAAAAGCAAAGACTGCAAAGAGAAGTGTCACAAGAGGCTTATTTTACCAGGTTTACTTAAGAGTACAAGATGAACAACTGGGCTAAACCTGGATTTACTCTAGTTATATTTACTAGATATAATGTGGAATGAAGCTTTGTTTTTTAGGACAGTGGATCCTGGCCCAAATTTCTGAATTAGATCTCACATTTGCTGCAGACCACTTCACATCGAACTTTCAGTTTGAATTCACTAAGAAAAGCAGTATCTGCACACACATTTCTTTCAGAACACCAGCTGTGTATGTATGTATGAATGCCAGGAGTCCTGGCACACTGAAAACAGGGTGTGTCCATGTGCTCCTTAAAAAAGGGGGAAAAAACCCCAAAAGAAACCCACCCTCTACAAAAAACAGGCAACTGGAATTCTAGCGCACCACTAAGTTCCTGTATTACTTTCATAAACAAACACCTTAGAAATGACAATATTTTCTAAAATGTCTCCATTCTATGGACTGCAGAGGAGCCACCTTCTTCATCATCACATACGATGCACAAATAGATTCCAGCTGAACTTTGTGGCGGCCTGATTTTTGGGTCAAACGTGAATTAGTCACTACCGGGTCCCAAGAACGTGTGTCTTACAGCAAAAAGGTTTCTGTCCCTTTACCTGTGCATTGAGTTGGAAAAGTTAAGCAACGCGTCAGCTGAGGTCAGATACCAGAGAGCTACCTGGATTTTCAAACAGTTTCAATGGAAGTGCCTGTGAAACATTGCATTTCCTGTTGGGCTTCTGGTAGCCCACACACACACACTCTAAAGCCAAAACCGAGCACAACCTTTTCCCCTACATCTGTTTTTTTCTTGAGGCTTCTCTGACTTTACCCTAATTTCACCTGACCAAACAGCAAACCCACACACCTTACGCATTACAACTGCATGAGTCAGCACAATTCAGTCTTCGGCTCTAGGCAAGATCTTAGCTCGTGATAGAAGATTTATCAGCGTAACAGCCTTGCATCTCCCAGATCCTGAAAGCACATTATAGGGTCTCATAAATCTATTAAGGATGTAAATAGCTATAGGGTAGATATGGGGTAGAAGCTCTGAAGGAAGCTGCATTACCACTACAATGCTCATCTGTGGGTTAAGGTGTTGACGGCATCACGTTGTTTGACCTTCTAGATACATACAGTAGATTGCAAACATTTTACCTAGATTTCATCATGAGGAGGTAAGGTGGCAGAGAGAGTGCATGGTATTTCACTTGGATCAATTATACACACGGTTATGTCAGCACAAAGCAAAACAAAGCACCCTGATTCCGCACTAGTGCTGCCGTCAGCCCTTCTCTACTTTCTACTTTTTTGGCGTTCTTTAAAACCCTTTAAGTGTATTTAATTTTTATCGTGGGATGAGAAGGGAAATAAATATTGCTGGCTCCCTCCAAATTTTCACCATTCTAGATCACTGTTTTTCTCAGTACTGCTCATTGCCTCTGCCAAGTCTGTCAGCCATCCATCCATTAGCCAGTTTCTAAAGGCTCCCTCACCTCCATCCTCCACGGCAAATAGAGATCGAAGTCTGTTCCTCCCTTCTGACAACTCACTCCCAAATCTGCTTTATACGCCTGCTGCCATCCCCTTCTCCCTCCGCCACCTCCTAGGCAGTCACAACAAAGCAGTCTCTGAAGTACTTCTGCCTCCTCATACCACCAGCTGCAAACCTGAAGTGAAGCACTGAGGAAAGCTGCTTCGAGGAAAAGAATTCTGAGGAAAATAAAAAGTTTCTTAATAAAAAATGAAAAAAAGCCAAACTGAAGTTTTAGTGACGATAATCCAGAATACGTTGCAAAGTGCTGGTGGGAGTGGGAGTAGAACTATTAGGATCCAGCTCATATAAACAAAGGCTTGCTATGGCGAAAATACAGGGAAGGAAAAGATGGTTAGGATGACTAAAGTAAAAATCTGACACCGCCTTTGGAAGGAATTTTAGATGAGCCTGCACCACCTTATCATTATAAAAATTTATGATAGGGTGGATCAGTCATGTGTGTTGTTTTTTTGGAAAACCAAACCTGCATATAAATTAACTCTTAATGAAGCAGTCTGAAAGCCAGACACAACTATTTGCAGACTGTAATCATGTAGTTACTGCGTGAGGTAAGGCAAAGGTTTTCGTTCCCAAGTTTCACAAGAGATAACTAACCTCTTCAGCTGAAGACTGCCCCAACTTCTAGCAGCTTCACTGCGTGCAAGCAGGAGGACCCAAGATAATCAGCAGGCTGACGATAACGATAACAGGAGCAGTCTGACTGCTCTCCTCTCTGGAGACAAGCGGTAAGCGAGGCATTCAGTTTGCACAGCAGGAAACGCTCAGGACTGGATATCTAAACCTCGTCTAGCAGGATCAGCTTACAACTGAAAACTGTAAGCATGCAAAATTTTCCTACATGAAGAAATAGGGCCTACGAAATCAGTATCTTTTACCGTATTTCTTAATTCTAGCATTTAAAAGTCTTCTGTACTGACTATGCAAAAAACAATAGCCAAATTTTTAAAAATTACATTTTATAGCTATTGCACAGTATTGGAAACAAGGCCACCTTACACAAAAGACAACAGATGTACAGGCTACCCAGACTGAAAAGACCTGGATGGAGAAATCTAGTTTGCTTCCAGATGGATCCATATTGTCCAATGTCCACCTTCAAGTTTGCTTCGTTTCTCTGGAGAAGGAAGAATCGCCCACTCACAGACTGCACATACTCTATCACTAGAGTACAGAGAAGCATGTGCTGTTTCTGTTGGGAGTCATCCTCTTGTTTGCAAGAGTCCCGAGAGACTTCCCTCATGCTTTGGTCAGTCACTCCATTCACTGTTGTTATTTTTCCTCAAGAAATCTCCTGTCTTATTGTCTCGCTAGAGCAAACATGCCCTCCTATAACCCTCTGGGGAAGTGAATGCTCTGATCAGCACATTCACTTGCAAAACACGTGCTTTCCCTTCATCTTCTGATGACCTACATAATCGTAATTCTTACAGGTGCTGAGAGTGGCATTCTGGAGTTTCTGTCTCAAACAGGTCTTGATCGAGGAAGAACATGGTATTTCTCTACCACAACCATGCAATAGAAAAGCATTTAATGTGAAGTAAAGAAACAATAAGAAAACACCTGTAACAGTCTGGAAAAACATGGGAATTACATGCTATAAAGCCATACATAAATCACAAGCTATAAGCTTTTCCCTTTCTTGCAGAAACTGTATCATTTATATAATGTTACGAATATTACGACAAATTTTAAGCCATTTGAAGTCATTTAATAAAGCTGACAGGACAAAAATGCCAAAGCAAAATTTAGAGAGTTCAAGATGTCTCATAAGAATGTCAACCATCCTATAGATGACTGCCATTCTGTATCAGTTACACCCTGAGCTCAATATTTCATGTTTGGCACATGTACTTCTTTGAAAAAGGCACCTGGCCTTCCCGTAGAGATGTTTTGAACCCCTCAGGTCTGATGGCACTTTGTTCCAGTGGGTAGGTACCCTTATTTCTTAGAGTCCTTTATCTGCTTGTGAAAGTACCTATCAATCACCTTTGTCTTCTAATGAGCTCAACAGAGTCAGACCTTTGAGGTCGTCCATTTTTCTCCATCATTCAAAATGAAATTTTGTCTTTTTTTTTTTTAATTTTTTTTTTAAAATGGACCTTACAATTTATTTCAGCATCTCTTATAAAATATAAGGGGTACCATGCAGTTGTGTAAGTGCCTAGTGTGATGAATGGTGCCAAGCTGGGTTTGACAGCTATGATACAGCAGCTACTACCCTAGGAACCACACCATTCTGGACTTGCAGCTGGTGACCTGGTGGGATCTCTATTGAATGACTGGAGCCCAAGGGATGGTATTTGAGACTCAGAGACCTGAATGTGTGAGTCTACATGTGACCTACATAGCAAAGCTCCTGTCCTATTTGGCTGAGTTTAGGGTGTCATTCAGCTAACCTTTAAGTGGATACCTAGTTACCTTACGGCTGAATATTTCCCAAGAGTCCCCTAACTGTATTGACTACGTGCCCTCTGACTACAGCAAAGTAAGCACCCAAAGCCCAACAAGCAGATACCTAAATTTTGAAGACTGTATCTGCAGTCAAAGCCCATCCAAGAACTGTGGTGTTCCAGGACCAGCTTTACCAATATTTAAGCAGAAGTCAAACACACCTTCCCCCCCGCCCCCAACTCCTGCTTCCTGGACCCCAATACGCACTCCCAAGGATTATACTAGCCCATGGACACTGCCACAAAGCCATACTAATCTAATAATAGCAACGGTGCATATCCTGGATTTCAAGTTTGCAACCTTAACTGCATTAACTTAGGGCACTCTCAGTCAGGCTGTGCTGTCTGAAGCAAAGCCAGGTCAAGAAACTACAAAACCCCACTCTGTTCATACTTGCTTGG